TTTTCTCACTACAGGAAAACAGCTCATTTTCGGCGTAATTTCCGGCGGAAATAAATTCGTCACAAATTCCGGCTGATTTTCCGGCGGATTTCCGACGGATTTTTTTTTGCAAAATTCCGACACATTTTTGACTGGTTTTCCGACGGATTTTTTCCGACAACATTTCCGGCTGCCTTTCCGGCGGATTTCTGACGGAAATTAAAAAATTAAGTTATATTTTAATAACTTATTATCAAATTATATTATAAAAATAACTTAAATTATAATTTAATTATTTAATAACAAAAAATTAACTTAGATTTTAATAAATTTTTCATTTTAAAGAAATTAACTTGTTAAATTAAGTTAAATAATTTAATATTTTATTGTTAAATTAAATTAACTAATTTAATAATTAATTGTTAAATTAAATTATATTTTTTTATCTTTTAAAAAAATTTACTTTTAAAATAATTTTTACTTTTAATATTTAGAAGTTATAAGTTAAATAAAATAAAGTATGAAAGAAATCAGGTTTTCTTAATTGGCTAAGTGGTAGAGGGCTAAAGGTTTTCGCGCGTGCAAGAGAGGCAGGCGTTCGATCCCCGCCGAAGGCAACTCCATGCGGGCGGGATCGGCTGGTGCAGAACGGGTTCATGAGGGGCTGGGTGGAGCGGAACGGGTTCACGAGGGGTTGGCTGGGCTGGCTGAACGGGGTCCGCCGCCGCTTTGGTATTAATTTTTTTAATTATTTTTCTTAAAATTCCGGCGGAAAAAACATCCGACGTAAATATTTTTCCAGTGGAAAATCCGTCGGAAATACGCCGGAAATATTTCCGCCGGAAGACATTTATCGACGCACGCCAAACTGGCGTACCAAAATCCGCCGGAAATCCGCCGGAAACCAAGAAATTCCGTCGGATTTTACGTGTTACCGGCGGATATGATCCGCCGGTAATAGCATATTTTCCTGTAGTGTTTTCTCTTATAGAATATCTCAATTGCACTCTTTCTCATTCAATAATAACCTTTTCTCACTTTTAAAACTCTTTTCTACTTTCTTTCCCTTCTAATTCCTCTTCTTTAATGTTTTCTGCAACCACTTCAGCCTTCTACTTATAAAATTCAGCAAACAACCTTTTTTTCCTCCTGAATTCAGTAGGTTTTTAACAACCTAAATCTTTATTTTAGCAATTGCAATATTAACCATTACCTATTTTAGTAAACATTCATATCCTTCCATGGTTTTAGCTTCCATCAGCAAACAATAGTACTTTCCTTACTATTTTTTGAATTTTCAGCAACTAGAAGCAGCAACACTACTTAATTTGCTGAAAATTTCTGGAATTCTTCCACATAACAGCCTAAATCTACTCATGCCAGAAATGCCCTCTCACGGCCTGTAGCTTCTTCGCACACCAGAAGCCAGTTGATGGAAAAAAATGGGAGAGGAAATGCTAATACTGCATAATGCCTTTATTCAGGATATATTATATTATAAGACCCTTAGTGCTTTTCCCACTACAGGATCCCAAAAATTTCCAGCCGTGAGATCAAATCCAACCAATGCATGGCTTGGTTAGTGGAAAGTGAGAGGAAATTTCCTTTTTCAGTATTAAAGAAAAAGCAATGATGGTTACTAGGTATTAAGTAAGAGTGAATTCATTTAAATGTTAATGAAATATGTAAAGTATGTTCCTGTACTACTTATGCATATAGATAAATACAATTGACTTCATAAGTGACATACACTTCTCTATATTAAAATGCTCAAAATTAAAAGGTTATTTTTAATGAAAATAAATTAACTTTTATAAAACATTAATACTTGTTTTTACTTCGAATATTTTAGGTATTATATGCACTTCATTAATAATTATCTTAAATGCTCCTCAAAGAAATTAAATGAACAAACCCATTGTAAGTGGGGTGTATGATTGGCTGGGTAACGTGAATGTCAGCAGTCAAAGAAAAGAGACTCGTACACACCTCGTGAGTGCATTGCACACCTTGTGAATGCTTTCCCTTGAAAAGAAACAAAAAAGTACACTGTTGCACGTTACGGATTGCATGACTTGTTCACTAAAGTATGTGTGACACATCAATTCATTTAAAACAAAATATTGCCTATGCGGTGCCCCTAGTTCTATAGTGCAAAAGTAATAGTGACATACAAATGCACTATGTAAACGTACTAAGTAGCGTGTATATATACCATCGATCATGCAAATATTCCTTGTAGATGTATTAACAATAAGACATGTGCAAGTGCATTGTGCAATGCATCAAGATTCGTGCATCTACATCATGCAGGTATACTATGGAACATACAAGTACATTGCACGAGTCTCCATGCAATAAACAAATGCATCATACATGCACCCATATAAACATGGAAATGCATCACGCATATTTATTATCCAACATGCAAATACACAGTGTGCGTTTACCACAATACATGCAAATGAATTATGAAAATATGGATGTAACAAGCAAGTGCATGATGTGCATATACTAAGCAATATTAAAATGCGCCACGTAGATGTTTGAAAACATGCAAATAAGCTATGTAGATGCATCGAGACTTGTGTAAGTGCGTAATACATCATGCAAATTATTTAAACATATTATTCAAACCATATAATTGTTTTATGCAAATGTTTCATACAAATGAATTACACATCATTTATATACATGAATCATGTAAATTTATTGTGACAATCATGCAAAGGCAACATGCGTACGTGTTATCTAACATGCGAATACATTATGAATGTGCACTGCACTACATATAGATACGCTATGCATATATCTGTCCAATATGTAAATGTATTGTACGATGTGTAAATGCATTTTGCATGCATGCCACAACATGCAAATGCATTATATAAACATACATGTAACATGCAAATAAATTATGTGCGCATTCTAATTTACATGAAAATGCGTCATGGTCATGCAAATGCATCACTCACATCATACAAATATATTGATTATTATGCAAATGCATTAAAAAGCACATGTATGCATGTGCGCCGATGAGCGCAATACGTACACAAGCAAGATTGGAGGATGATGTCCGAATTGAAAAATGACAAATGCATTGTTAAGCATATCAAAATGCATGCATATCATTTAAATACAAAATTATCCTAAAGTGTTCCGAATGTTGCATACAATTGTTGAACTTAAGGTTTGAAAGTGCTGTGCACATCAAAGTTCAAGTCCAATCCTCCTTGAATGGACCGAAGTTGACACACTTGAATCAACGAACAAATATACTGTCATAGTTTCGATCGAAATATTTGATTTTATACATTCATATGGACCTTCAAGGTTGTTTGTAATGAAAATCCACTTATTAAAATGTAAACTCTTACTTCTGATAGCTATACAACTTTAAAAACCAATGGTTGAAACCGATCTTCTGTTGGCGAGAAAACAAAGTAGACAGGGTTCGAACTATGAAAATTACTAACCATCTTCGATGATGGCCACATTAAATGTAAATCTCAATCAGAGGAGACTGCATCATTTAATGTCATAACATTCAAATTAATCCCGATTCTCTATTGATAAATAGAAAAAGTTGACAGGGTCAATTCCTGATGATGGCTGGGTTGAAAGCTAATCTCAATTGGCGAGAATCCTACTTTTTAATGCCCTCAAATCCTAAAATTAATCTGTTAGGGTCTCAAATTTAATAAAATGTTAAGTCTAATGTTTAACAAAGTTTAAATATTTAAAATGAGATTAAATCACCTAACACTTTAAAATTTATTAATTAAGATTCATTTTTAAATAATATTTTGTCATTAAGGATGTGCCAAATGTCCTCTAATCAATGGTTTGACTCAACAATTCCATAAGACTTGTGGTTTGGCCCAACGACTCTTTAGTTGGTGAATGATTATGATTGAGGTCCTTTGAGCAGGTGGTTTGGCCCAACGACTCCACTATATTACAGTCACGGCTAAAAGCTTGTATGTTCCTCAATGGCTTATGCCCTTGAATAATGAATTATAGGGTATAATTCATAGGGCATAAAGTTCATGTCAGCTTAAGTCAGCTAAAATATATTTCTGTTGGTAAATATTCTCCCCAAGTCTCCAAGGTCCTCTTGGACAAAACAACTCAAGGTTAAGGATAAAGATCTTTCGATCATGTTGGGTTGACTACCTCTTCTGATTAAGTGAACTAGGGATTACAACGGCTCAGGACCACATCACCATGGTATCTTGATTAGGCTCGTCATCATTCTCCTATCACCCGCATTAAGAGAATGATGATAAATTTCAAACCCTGGAAATTTTCAAATCCGACATCCAAATCCTAAAGCTACTGCTAATATACGTTGGGTAAATAGTACCTATTTAAAGACTAGCCTTAATCGAAGTGCTCACTTGTTATTGAGAGGTACAATTAATTATAGCGGCTCGTGTTTATGGGAGACCAATCTCCAGATTAAAAAGTCCTCACGAAATAAGTGCGAAATCTCTCGATAGTATTTTATTTAAAATCCAACTACTTTCTGAAAATTTATCCTAGAATGTAATCTCATTAAAACTCTTCCTGTTGATAAAAAAAACGTGTAGAGGTCGGGGCTTGAATTTTCGAAGCCAACAATGTATTCCTTAGTTATCTTTTTGATATCTTTTATCAATTAGGTACTGTCGTTTTTGAAACACATCTAAAATTGTAAGTCTCTTCATTTGATCTGGCGATCATAAGTTTGAATCTTGGAATAGGCCACTTTGCTAATTTTAGAAAAAGTTTTGCATTTGTCATTCTTTTTTACGAAACTACATTTGGTGGGAGTGTTATTTACTATATTCATTTCTTTGGCTTCCATTTTGATGGATCTAGCAAGATAATAGCTTTCTTTAGAAAAAGAATGGATATTACAAATTGCCCTTTCTAATTTGTTTTACTCCTTGATTTATCTTCCACTTCTGCATATTACACTAATTCATTTTTTGTCTAGTTTGCCCTAAAAGTGATTATTGCAATATTGCATGCAGGAATTCCTGGATGAATTTAAGAGATTGGATAGAGCTTTAAACACTAGAGAGTACAATTCTAGCATTGTTGAGCCAGTATGTAGAGCATATGATCATGTGTTATAATTTTAAATTATCTTACTTTCTCTTACACAATTCTGATGTGAATTATTGTTCTTCCATTCTGTAAAGCCACTTCTTATTCAATTTCGACTGTTCAACAATGGCTATGCTGTGAAAGGAACACTTCTTATTAATAAGCAGGTACACATAATAATTGTTTGTTACATGCATTTGGTTTTTTATTGTGGCTTTTTATATTCGTTGTGGTCATGAATACAATTTTAACAAACTTATGTTTCTTTCATGTGGAGATATTAGGTTTACTACGTCAAATTACAACTTTCTGTCTTGATTTATTATTGTGGCATTTCAAAAAGGAATCTCAGCATGATTTCTCTTCTCTAATAATTCTTTCAAACTCTCTAATTTTGCTATTTACTTGGATTAAGAATTCTACGTTTGGTCCAAGGCATCGTTTTAAAAGGCAGATAAAATGCTTCAATGGCAACTAGGTTATTTAGTTAGTTTTTTTTTCGCCTCATAACTGGTTAGCACTACTCTTTTCTAAATTTTGATGCAACGGTAGTATGGAAATGGCCAGTTTCACTTACATAATTTATACAGTAAATGATGCTTTATCTGGAATGCTTGCCGTTTGAATCTGCATTATATCATCTTTACTTTTACAGAATGCTTATTGTTTAAAATTCATGTTTGTAGCTACCCTTCAGAACCATTCTTTTTAGGCCTTCAATGAGAAAAGTTCAAACAGATCCAGATGCTCTAGGTATTCAGTCCAACTCTCTGGAGATTGTTGGGACAAGGTAAGCTTAGCTGATTAAATTACATAACACAGTTTCTGTTGAATTTCATAGGATATATCTAAATTTCTGAATGCAGGGTTTAGGTTACATTTTAACTGTTAAACTACCTTTCCATTATTTTTACCTTCAATAAAATTGAACTAGAAGGGCCCTACTTGCCTGCATAACAATACCTGTTTGGTTTGCTGGAAAGCTGTATGATGTCAAATCTCTAGGCTTTCCTTATTCTTGGCTGATAAAATTAGTCCTTTTTTTCCAAGCTCAGGTTGGCACTTTATATTATTTTCCTATAAAGGCGCAGTAAATAGGACCTTGTTTCATTAACGACATATCATAAATACTCACAGTCAAATTAGGTAAGGCCTTTCTGTTAGTCCGTGTAAGCTGACAAAGCAATAAGTTAAAGAAAATAGATCTTATATACGTGAAGTAAAAGCACTTATTTAGAAGAAGGCTAGCTGATCTATTAGTGGAACAATTAGGTCTAAAGTAGCCGTGTTTATAGTGCCATTCGTTTTTAGAGATTACTTTGGTTTTGTTTTGCAATTTTTTAATAGTGGGTCAATGCAGTAGCCAACTTATGCAAAAGCATCATCTTACTTTTGCTTTTTCTGAGATATTCAGCTTCTCTGAATCAACCATTTGATAGGTTGCCTTTGTAACCTTATAGAGAAAACCATTTTTTATTTATTTTTCTTAGGATTAGTTGCTCTTTAGGAAAGGCTTTGTTCCTTTTAAGGGCAAGGAATGCCTTTCCTATCTGTTTGATCTTCTTGATTAGTTCCCTGGCAAAGAGAATCTTGAAGTTTTGGGTGTAGCTTAAATTTAATAAAGCTGAATTAAGAATAGAATTAAAAATTAAACATGACAGAATAAATTAATCATAGAAGATATTTTTCAACACCCGACTTAAAAGCCCTTTAATCATCTTAGCCAAAACTGAATATTGCTCATGTTATAATCCCGTGTTGCCACCTTGATTTATATAATATATGATAAGAAAGGTTTGCGCTTCAGCTAACCCGGTGGGATCTCTCGAATCTTTGTTGAGCATGAGCCTGATAGAGTTTTTCCCTCAGCGATCAAGGTTCATAAAACTTATTGATTTATGCAATGATTCTTGATCTCAATGTAGATGACTATTTAGAGTTTCATGTGGTAGATCACTAGAAAAAGTTTAGTGGGGTTCTCTTCCTCCTCACTAGATGAGGTGGAGTGCAGTGGCCATAATAACTCAAAGAAAGTATGGACTTATGATTTATTGTGACCATGTGGAGCACACTGGTGGAGGCAATGAGGTTGTGAGCTGCTACTTGTGTAATGACAAAAAAAAAAAAAAAAAAAAAAAAAAAAAAAAAAAAAAAAACTGACTAGCTTGAATCCGGCTAATCTTGGTAGCTGAGCTCAGCTTTAGGCTTATTAGTTTGTTTGGGTTTCATTTGACTATGGTTGGTCTAGTTTAAGCATACATGGAATTCTCTTACACTTTGGAGTTTGTATGAATGCCAATGAATTCAATATGAGCTTATTCGGTCACTGTGAAGTCAAAATATGCCAAATTAGGCCTTGAAACTGGCATAGGTCCATGCTTGATTGAAAGTTTGTACTTGATAAAGTAGACTTTTATCATGTAATTTGTCTTGTAATCTTGTAAAATATTGTGTTTGATAAAGTAGATTAACTCCACTTAATTTTTTTTCCACCAACAAATGCAACATTCCTATATTTTGACCTCAATGTTGCGTAAGTGTTGGTTGAACTTGGAAGTTATTGCTTGAAATTTTCAATTTAAGTTTTTTAGACATTTTTTTATTCAATCTGATGAGGACATCGACAGATGCTATCGACAAGTTTATCGACGACGGAATCGTAGATCTACGGCTAAGATTCAACGCTTTTACTTTTGATGCATTTCTTCATGTTATGTTTTATTTTGTATTGTTGTTTCCGGAATTTACCCCTTTGGGGAAGTGTCTTGTTATTGTAGCCCAGAAGGAAATTGCGTACTTTTCCTTCTTCATGATTGATACCTATATATAGTGGTCTATGTGTTGTAAGATTTGGATGAATGATGAATGAAAATTTTCCTTTGTTTCTTCTTCTTGTGAGAGCACTAGAGAGAAGAGAGAGAGAGAGAGAGAGCAAGAGAGAGAGAGCTCGAGGTGAGCAAATGTAACACCCACTAATCGTTGGAAGAGTCCGCGACTCGTGGTTTTTAATTTGTTGTCTTCTTCTCTTCCTCTTCCCCATCCCACTCGTTGACTCTTCTTAGTTCTACCACAACCGGCCATAGTCCCTCCCAAATCACCCCACATCACCACCACTTCAAGTCCACTCGCCAACCTAGCCCCACCGAACCCGAAGCCTGGGCGCCCCTTTCGCATTGCCGCCACCCCCCATTCTCTTCCCCTCCTTGAATGATGAATTACTTCATCATTACCACTTACCTAAATAGCATAAATGATTTAATCTCAACCATAATTTGAATTTCAAATAGTTTCATAAATTAGAAAGTTATTTTAGGAAAGTCTTGAATCCAATTTAAATTTAATTTTAAATTAGATTGGAGTGCTTTATTCTTTTCCTAAATTAGGAAGACCAAATTGGAAGCTATTCTAATTAACCCACACCCTCCTCCCTCTCTTAATGCCGTCAACCTCCCCCCATTAATGGGATTTCTTCATGGTTTCCACTTGAGCTCCCAATCACACATTATTTTGAATTCAAATTTCAAATTATTTTACTCCACACTTAATTAGAATCTGAAATTAATTTCAGATTTGAATTAAACTTTTCTCCCCTCTAACCTAACCTAATTCTCCATCATTCAAACCGTTCCCCTGCTCTTTACTCTTGGCCGCCCTCTCCACTTGCATCATCTCTCTTGGGAAACTTAAACACTCATGCTATTTGAAGCAAAGGGAAGAAAACAAGTTCTTTCCTCTTTCATACCAATGATGTATGGCCGACCCTGAGGTCGACCACGGATTTGTCTTCGACGAGCAAGGGATGACGAATATTCTTGGATCCCCATTCTTCGACGTCTTCTTTGGTAATGATGAGACTGTGGAGGGATACATCGACCGCATCTTGTACTAACTAACATTATCGATTGAAGAGCACCTTCAACCGGGTCGTTGGATAATCATCGATCACCCTCCGCCTCCTCCACCGCCGACTATTTCTCCATCTACGAAGGTCTTCGGTGCCGTCTTCCTAGTGGTAATATTCTTCATTGTATGGTTCATCTTTCTCTGCTAAAGCTTAAGAGTGATTGAGTGAGAAGGTACTCAAGGTGAATCTCTCGTTGTTAAGTGATGGATTATGTTATGTGTACTTAGTATTTACTATTGTCTTGAATTTTGATTGGATTATTTGGTTAATATCAAACGCATTTCTTTGGCCTAAGCAAGTTGATTACTTTGAATTCCTAACTCTTCTCTGTTTGCACGCAATAATTTTCATTAGCAAGTTTTAATCAATTGTTTCTTTTAATTTCACAAGTAACTCCTAGTAGTATCACATCATCTAAGTATCAGAGCATGGTAGACATGCATATCTTGTACTAGAAAACATCCTAGGGTTTAGCCAAACATTAGTCTTAAAGTTTACATGCATGTCTTCGTCTAAATAATTTCAATTCACTGTTTTTGTTTGTTGCCCATGCATTTCTTGCACATATTTAGTGAACTTTAGGTCAATTTCCCTAGTGTTTAGGGTGCTGTCCACACGCTAGAAACCCTCCAAAACACTTAGATAACTTGGGCCTTTGCTGTAGCTTGCTGTCCCGATCATTCTTGCATCATTTAGAGGTGTTAGGAGCATTTTATCTTAGTGTCTAGGTGCTGTCCCTTACCCCATTACCTCCCCTAGCGTCCCTTAACACCCACCCATGGATCCGGAACTCATTCAAGCAACATTGGACCTAATCGTGGGCCAACTTGGAACGGTTACTCAACAAATTATGAACACCCAGACTAACTTAGCCGACTTTAGACACCAAACGGGTGAGAGACTTGATAACATCGCGCGTATAGGAAACCCAGCGATCTATACCCCTTCTAGACCCCATTCTCCTTACGGTGATGATACCCGAACTGAATATGGACCTCCTAGAGACCACTACTGCCCCAATCATCGACCCAATCAGGAACCTTTAGGACGCGGCACTCCTTGGAGAGATAATGATACCCAACTGCTTAAGAACATTCGTATAGATGCCCCGTCTTTCGACGGTATGTTAGACCCTCAAGTTTTCCTAGATTGGCTCAAGGGAATAGACAGTTATTTTAAATGGTATAATATTTCAGAGGAACGAAAAGTTAGGTTCGCCGAGATGAAGCTAACGGGTAGAGCTAATTAGTACTAGATGAACCTTGAACATATGCGCAAAACCCGAGGAGAATATCCTGTTACTAACTGGGGGACGATGAAACAAGAGTTAAAATGAATATATCTCCCTCTTTCCTACTATCCTAGACTTTTGGATCGTTAGAATAGATTGACCCAGGGAAGCAAACCCGTCAAGGAGTACATTTCGGCCTTTGATAATTTCATGATCCGTTGTAGTGGGGAAGAGACCACTACTCATACACAAATTATTTCGATGTTTAGAGCCGGATTAAGAGAAGATCTTCAGAATGAGTTTTTTTCCATAGGAGTGAACATTTTGGAAGCCGCTTGTAGTCTTGTGTTAGATTTAGAAGAATCTAGGAGCCATGCCTCTTCTAGCAACCAAGAGCCTCATCCTAACCTTTCAAATCCTCCTCTAGTCAACCTTACAACAAATCCACTGGACCCACGACTAGTCGACCTACCCCAAGTCAAGCCCAACCTCGCCCTGACTGTAAAGGTAAAACACCGGAACGACAAACACCCAAGACCCCTGCTGGCATTAAATATTTTCGATGCCATGAGTACGGGCACATTGCCTCTCAATGTTCCAGTCCGTTTAAAGTCACCATTATTGAGGAAGTCACCGAAGAAAACGATGAATCGTA